GCGGGGCATAGAGGAGAAACAATAATGTACAGTATGTGGAAAATAATGTGTTTTTTGAACCTTAAACCACATGAACACATTTCATTACACCAAATACACAAAATAATGTTATTTTTAGCAACATCATATGACCCCTTTAACCTTTTTGCCTATATATTTATTTATTTTTAAAAAGTTTTATATTAAATAAATATTATTTTTTGTTTGTAGATATAACTTCATATTTACTTTTAACGTTTTTTTTGTGTCCATAATTTAGTATTTAAAAAAAAAAAATATATAATTACAATATTTCTGCCATGCATCTGCCAGAAGTGTGACTACATGAGATCTAGTACGAAGTAGTTTCTAAACATAATTTTTGTGTTGAGTGCATAAGTTGAGTCAAGCCATTTTATAGGTAGCACCCTTTATAATCCACATAATTTCAAAGCAGAATTTTCCTAATTACCTAAATAAATAAATAAATAAAAAGAAGCAAATAAAGCTTTTACTGACCACAATATTTTATTTATACAGTATGCAAATAGTAATACATTTTTTAATCATTGTTTTTGTTATATAATAGATATAGACAAATATTATCACATTGCTCACGCCCCTAAACAGTTGCTATCACAGAAAAGCCCTCATGAAGATTTCACATCTGGACTTAAAGGGGTCATATGATGTTGCTAAAAAGAACATTATTTTGTGTATTTGGTGTAATGAAATGTGTTCATGTGGTTTAAGGTTCAAAAAACACATTATTTTCCACATACTGTACATTATTGTTTCTCCTCTATGCCCCGCCTTTCTGAAACGTGTCGATTTTTACAAAGCTCATCGTTCTGAAAAGCGAGGTGTGCTCTGATTGGCCAGCTATCCAGTGCGTTGTGATTGGCCGAATACCTCAAGCGTGTGACGGAAATGTTACGCCCCTACCATACTGTGATGATGCCGTCCGGCCGGAGCGACGAGACAAAAACATTCAAACCCATTATAAACGAGGCATTTGTTGCATCCAGTGGGGACATAATTACGGATTAAACACACAGCGACTCCACAACATGGCAGCGGTGGCAACAGCAAGAATTAAAGTTACCCCTTCTTTCTTTGCGTGAACATTTGGGCGGCGTTATGCAAATCTTCCCACATAGTGAGGTAGACATGTGGGGGCGTGTTAGAACGAGTCGTTTTAGGTAGGCGTGGCTGACTCTTAACTTTTATAAAGAATATCTCTTAGGGTTTGAGACTTTAGTCTTTGCAACTTTACAGATCTTCTTTATGCACCAAGAGCTTGTAACACTCCAAAGAGAAAGGAAAAATTGAAATCGCATCATATGACCCCTTTAAAACAGGGTCATGCATGATGACGTCTGAGATATGAACAGCGAAAACGTGCGCGCACTCACTCGCGTGTTGTTTTTTCTTCTTCTTTCTTTTGTAATAAATTTTAATTTAATGTGTATGAATTTGTGTTTGTCATTTATGTTTAATTTATAACTATTGGTCATTATTTTATGGATTTGTATGTCGTTCAAGCATTAAAAAAAACACACGCCACAGGACTGTACCAACTGACACTAGACTGAGGGGACACACACACACACACACACACACACACACACACACCGCTGCTCTTATAATGAGCTGAAGTAATCACAGTGATGCTCAACATCCAGCTTTAATTGACTGTTGGTGAATGTAAATCATTCTGTCGGTGAGTTTCATTGTTTGTTGTTGCTTCTTTCAGTGTTCTGCACGATTTAGCGATAACTCGATCCAGGCGTTTTCACTTCTGCAATATTCTGTTTATGTGTCACACATAGTTTCAGTTTAAGTCATTTTATACACGACTGCGTGTGTGTTTGGTAGAAAACACACTTGAAACATGTTTACTGTTTATTTCTCTACCGTTAGCTGCAGTGCTCGTTGACATCTAGTAACGTTAGTGAAGCTAACAGACTAGCACACAAGGGGAAAAATGAGTGAAAACGCGTAGATGAGATTCAAACAGTGATGCTGATGGTGATAATAGTGATGAAGAGAACGTGGTGCGATTCTTTTTTTATTTCTGCTGTTTTTATTTGCTACGTCTTCATTCAGGACGGAGCTTTATTGTTGTTTTCTGGCTAGCGAGATGAATTGGTATCCATGTGATGATGCTTTGCGTTTGACCGTAATGCATTTTTATTACAGTGTAACTACTAGTGTAAAACAATACTAATAGTGTAAATCAAACCAGCAGAGCTGAAGTAACCGAGCGTTACCAGAGACCCTCAATACAAGCATCACTGTTCAGGCTTTGTGTTCATTGTCTGCTGGTGTTTGATCAAACCAGCCAATCATCTGTGTGATTCATTGATATTTGGTCGTGTAGGTTTTGCTTGTAAAGCTACAGTACTGGCATGTGTTATTACAGCTTCAGTCCTGAGGTTTATTGTTTTGGCACAGTGGTTATATATTGGATGAAATCTCTTCATTAACCACTATGATGCACCACGTCTTGGAAAATATGATTTTGTCTAAACATCAGGGTTTTGTTCTTACAAAAGTTCCATGATATTACAGTTGTCTTGTGCACATGGTACAGTTGTAATGCTTTTATTGATTGGAAATGTGCAATGGTTGATAGGACTGTCACTTGACCAGTTATCTTCTGTTTTTGTTGATCACGTACAACTGTATGGCTTGCAGAGTATAAACAATTTACCACACTTCACTAAACAAGTTGAATATCTAAACAATTGAATATCTATGAGAAATTCAACATTAAATGGAAAAATGTACTCTGATTATGCGTAAAGCAATGCATAACAATTGTGCAATTTTTTACACCTTTAAAAGTGGATTTTTGATAGCAATCAGCATAGTGTAGGAAAATGTGCTTAATGTTGTGAAATGATCTGGTATAGTTTTCCAGGAAAAGTGTTTATGAGTTTAGAAGTCATAGAATTACATGATTTATTTTTCTACAAA